GAGCAGAGGAGGTGGAGGAGGAGGAGGAGTTGGAGGAGGAGGAGGAGGAGGAGGAGGAGGTGGTGGTTGAAGAAGAGGAGGAGGACCAAGAAAATAATGAGAAAGAAAAGGAGGGAGAAGGAAGAAAAGGAAAGAGAGAGGTACGACAGGCAGGTGGTCGACACGTTTTGAAACGCGTCGACTTTTTTTTTCCGCACAATCAATCAATCAATCAATTGATGGATCGTGTGATACACCAGTTTGTACTATAGATACGAGCAGAGGAGGAGGAGGAGGAGGAAGGGGAGGAGGAGGAAAAGGAGGAGGAAGGGGAGGAGGTGGAGGAGGAGGAGGAGGTGGTGGTTGAAGAAGTGGAGGGGGACCAAGAAAAGGACGAGGAAGAAAAGCAGAGGAAGAAAAGGTGAGAGAGGTACAACAGGCAGGTGGTCGACGCATTTTGAAGCGCGTCGACTTTTTTTTCTTTTTGTTTTCGCACGATCAATCAATCAATCGATCAATCAATCAATCAATCAATCAATAAACCAATCAATCGGTCGACCAATTTATCGATTGATTGATTGATTGATTGATTTGATTAAATCAATCAATCAATCAATCGATAAATCGTTCGACCAATTGATTGATTGATTGATTGATTGTGCGATACACTAGCTTGTATCAACGATACGAGAAGAGGAGGAGGAAGAGGAGGAGGGGGAGGAGGTGGAGGAGGAGCAGCAGGAGGAGGAGGCTACGAAACACCTGCGGACGCATCCGCAGGGTCGACCTCGAAGGGCGGCCGTATATACGGCCGCGTCCGCGCCACGGACGTGAATTTGCAACATTTTTTCTGAATTAAATAATAAGTATATATATATGTATATGAGGTTGTGTGGATTTTTAATCCCTACAACCTTATTTTTCTTTTTTGGAAACAGATAAGTTTTTAGAATTATAAAAAATAAAAAACAGAAAAGGTGGAGAAGAGAAATTGAAAAATAAATTTAAAAAAAAAATTCTCTTTTTTGGGGATTTTTGGTTGGCAGTTCTTTGTATTCTTCGTTTTTACGTTTTTTTTTTGTTTTTTTTCCCCTAAAGAAACAATCAAGGAATCGAAAAAAATATATATTTTTATTTTTTCCGGGCCTTTTAATATTTGTGTGTGAACGTGTGTGTGTAGGGGGTGTGTGTATAAAACACGACCATCCCATTCAGAATGGGACACTAGACATTGTCGTTACGTCCAATGTTAGGCAAGGGGGGAAGGGGGGTAGTTAGGTACAGGATACATTAAGGCACAGATTAGATAGCGAGCAGGTTAGCAAAGTTAGAGTTAGTAGGTTAGCAGCGGTTAGGAATGGGTAAGAGGACCCAGTCGTAGGGGGGGTGCACGCCCTGAACCGCGCTTTTCGCCGCTTAGCACCCATAGCAGCTCATCAGAGGGATTAGTCGTTAGCAAGGTTCCAATTAGCACAAAGGGTGGTAGGGAGTTGTAGTCAAGGGGTTGTGGTAATACACAACATGGGCGATTAGGGGTAAGGGTACAGAGGATCCGTACCTGCGGTGTCTTGTCTGGAGAAGCGGCATAGTCAGTCACTGTCGTAGCTGCCATAGCTGTCGAGCTTCGGCGTAACGATGGATCAGGAGCTCCGTTGGTCGAAGCACAGATTGGCCGGCCCAAGAAGGTGCCTTGCCCGCCGCAGACAGACGGTTAGCTCGCCTGGTTGCGTAGTATGAGGGGGATGAGGAGAGGCAGGTGGGAGAAGATGGTGAGATGAGGAAGTTCTTTGCATGCGTAGCAAGTATGAGTCGGAATGCTCCGTAGCGCCGGTGTAGTCATAGGCAAGTTGTTGTAGATAGTAATGCAGGCAGGATTCATTATATCTTGTTATGTGAGGTTTGTAATGGGTATGGTGGTGTTCGTGTGTATAAGATAACTTAATCATTATTGTTTTTTTTTATAATTATTTTAATTAAAAAATTAGGTCGCCGAAAGGTGATATTCGTTCTGGTTTGGTAAAACAGGGCGTATTTGGTGGGTTTTAGGGGTCTATGTAGGTGTACGGGTTATGCTTGTGTGTGATCGGTTGTAGTACAATTTACGGGGTTTGGTTGTAGGTGGGGTGATTATAGAACTTTAGTGGCATATTTGCTTTGCTTTGCTTTGCTTTGTAGTTCCCGCGTAATGTTATTGTCTTCTTCTTTCGCGCCGATCAACTTCAGAGTTCGGCGGTGGTCAGTATTTTGGATGGGTTGCAGTTTAATTAGTTGTTTAAAGAAAGTGACATATTTCTTTTGCCGAGTTTTTTTGTCCTGGTTTTCAGATGTCGATCTTCATGGGGATGCTTCACAAGTTTTTGTTTTTTTTTGTGTCTTTCTTTGCGGGTTGTTGCTTTGCCGTTATATTTTTTACTGTCGTATCTGTTTCCTTTCTTTCATTTTCGTGTCTATGCATTTGTTCGGGTTTTTATTATTATTAATGTCCCTTAGTTTTTCTTGAAAGAAATGTTTGCCTTATGTAGTGCCCTCGGCTGGGTGGTATTGTCTTCATCAGGAGTTTGTACTTGCAGGTGGTCGTATCGATGTACGAGTGCGGGTGTATGTGTATTAGGTTCTAATGTATAGGTCAGTGTTTAGTGGTTTGCTGTGTATGTTTTTTTAAGGGGTGTTTTAATAAATTTGACGATGGTTGGTACAGGAGTGTTGTACTATTCTTCGGTTCTAATTGGTTTTTCTCAGTGTAAACCGCGTCGTGTTTTTCGTCCAGTATGCTGTTTTATCTGTAAGTGTACTTAGTGGTGTGTTATGCATTATTCTTGGGGGTTTCTGAGGTGTTTTTTGTGAGGTACAACTCGTAGCACCGTTGCTTCATTACTAGTCAGTCGACATCTGTAATTAATTTGTTTTTGTGCAGTATATTTACGTAATTGGTTTATAAGTATATAGTTCCCATAACCTTTTTGCTTTGCGAGAATTGAATATTCATATTCTTGATAAGTTGTTGCCTTGCTTAATCTATACGAGGCGGTTTTGCGAAAGAATATGTATTTTAATCCAATATTTATTTTTACTTTTAGTTATCATATTCTTAACTTTAGTTTATTGTTTTTTATTTATTTATATATTCTTATTATTGGCTACCAGAGTGGGCAGGGGTCACTTGCCCGGCCGGACCAAAAAAATTAAAAATAATATTTTTTAAAAATTATTTTTTATTTTAAATTTGGTAAAGAATTTCGATGTGA